AGAAATTCTATTTCATGCTTTTCAGAATTACTTATAAAGATTCAGTGAGGTACTTCTCATGCCCGACACAGGACAGCAGTTTGAGAACCACTCTTCCACCTGACATCCAGGTGTGGGCCCCACGGTGGGTGCTGTTCTAAGTTTTGGCCGCTCACCAGAGTGCTCCACAGACCAGGTGGACACGATGTGCACTGCTGGCTGGACCTGTACCACAACTGAAATTTGCTGGGAATCTGCAACTTTTTAGCAAATAGGAAATCACTTGGCATTTGTAAGCCCACCATTTCTTCCTCCACTTGTCTGTGACATTATTTGGTAAGAACTGAACCTCAGTCCTTCCCCTAATGCTGCCACCTTCTTCTTTCTCCTAGCAATTTTGGACTCCCCTACACTTCCTTTCTTGTTTCTGGATACTGAATTTAAATTTGGAGTCGCCAGGATTCACTGTGCACTCAGGATACTCCACCACCGCCCCCATGCCCACTGCCTCTCCGTGGTTTCAGAGCAGCCCTCTTTGCAAGTCACCCAGTGCCCTGGCAGGAAAGACTCTGTGTGCAGAGTGCCACGCACAGACCAGCAGAGCGTGGGAGATGGGAGGTAAGCACCGTGTACTCACTGGCTCACTTTATGGTACAGCTTAGCAATGCCCTGGTGGGTCCAATCCTTCCCAAGGGTGGGCAAAATGTGGCCAAGAGTATCAGATCTAAGTAAAGAGAAAAATAAGAAAAATAAAATGAAAAGGTCACGCAAGGAGCAAAAAGCCCTTTCGGATTCATTACACCATTCATGCCTCATCAGAAATGCAAACGAGACCCACTTTCCTTTCTGGGTAGAAAGCCTAAGGCTCAAGTGATCAAACGGGAATGCTTATGGGGGCATACGGTAATCCGCAAAAGGGCACCTTCAGTCTGATCATGTACCCAGGCCCTTGGCTTGCTAAATCAAAGTGAAAAGGCCATTCAGAAAAGGCGCTCTTCAGAAGCACCCAAAGCAACAACGTCAGGGAGATGATACCCCAGACAGAAACGACACCCAAGCCCTAAATGCAGCTACTGAATTCAAGGAACTAAAATACATGAGCAGCTCCAACCACACCAGAAACTGAACTGTACAAGTCTCATGGTGGCACCCAAGGAGGAGAACAAAAGTGCCATCTCCAGGCCCAGAGGTCCCATGCTGGAGTCAAGAAATCTACCATGGTCCCCAAGTCAGCTGGACCTACCTCGTGATTGTCCCATCAATATCAGAAATGATGACCTTATCGTCCCAGTTCCACAAATAGATGGTGCCTTCGCAGCGGCAGGTGCCTTGGTACTGTGTGGTGACGCTGAAAACCACGTCATTTGGGCCATTCTTTAACTTCAAGCTTTTCTGAAAAACATGAACTCTTTGTCCACTGGAGGGGAAGGCACAGATTGAAAATCATTTGGCTTCTGTTCCACAAGAAGCAGGATTAGGCCTTAAAAAACAAATT